TTGAAAAAGCTTAAATCCAGAGTTAATTCCTTTCCTGCCCTGTACCTCTTTAAAAAGAATTAGATCCAGAGTTCTTTTCTGATGTGCTTGTGAGTTTTTTCTTGTACTGTGATTGTGAGTTTTGGTTACAAGATGGTTGCATGATGGATCGCCACCACGATAGTACGCAGCAAGTTCACGAAGAGGCTGAATAGCAACTGAATAAAACCACATACAGGTTGAGAAGCAAAAGGCAAAACAGGAGGAAACCAGGAGACAGATTTACACATATTCAACTCCAGAGCCCTATTTGGTGGCTCCTTTCTCCCATCTTATCTTCCTAATCCTCCTTCACCTGGAGGCTCAAAACAGCTAAAGGTCAAGAAGAAATAAAAAACGAGATAGACCAAGAAAAGGGCACAAGGAGACACAGTGAGAAAGAAATATATACTGTAACTCAAGAGTTGTTCCTTTTTTTGGTGGCTACTTTTTCCTCACCTTCTTTTCATCCTAGTCCTCTTTCACCTCCTACCTGAAGCTCAATACAACTAAAGGTCAAGAAGAACAGAAAGAAAGAGATAGACAAAGAGAAGGACGCAAGGAGACACAGTGAAAACTATTTAAACTCCAGAGTTACATTTTTTCATGGCTAGTTTGTCGCACCTTCTTATCTTCCTAATCCTTTGTCACCTGCCCAGAATTCCCAACAGCTCAAGGTGAAGAAGAAAACCAAAAAGAGATAGACAAAGAGAAGGAAAAAAGGAGACTGAAAACGAATTAACTCACGAGCTAAATCCTTTGTTTGTTGCTACTTGTTCCCACCTTCTTTCTTATCCTAATCCCTTGACACCTACCCAAAACTCAAAACGACTAAAGGTCAAGAAAAGAAAAGAAAATAAAGAGATCGACAAAGAGAGGGAAACAAGGACACACAATGAACATGAATTAACTCCAGAGTTATAATTCTCTATTTGCACAAGTGGCAAAGTTGACAGAATCATCTCCAGAGTTAATTCTTCTAGAGTTACAGGTTGAATAGGAGACAAATCTAAAGCATTAACACTGGGGTTAACACTATTTATTCAGCCTCTTCCATCCATGCGCTCAATCCAATATATGTGCTGCCTTGCAATCTGCTGATGGGGAGTTGTATGCTGTTGGCATTCCATGACCACATCCTCCATAACGCTAGGCGACTTCAGGATGGCGGGTGCTCAGACATCAGAGGCTCCTTGATATGGATTCTTTGCACAAAATGTGTATATCGAAATGATATCAAAAAGTTATCAATGTGTGTTAATGGATTGATGGTTCGGGTCACGCTCTTGAGTGGTTCCAACTCCAACCGCAACGTGAGAAGAAGCATCAAGTCAAACCCGCGCAAGGTGGATGCTGTCCTCAAGAGCTTTCTGTCGGACTACCCCACCATTATTGGCTTCGTTGTGATCAATGCCGACGGCATTCCAACCAAATGGCACCATTGAGCTGCACTTTAACGCATTCCAATACTAAGAGGAGCAACATGCTTTAGACACTTGAGCTAGAGTGGCAATGTCATTGAAAGAGGTCGTGATTCAATGGCATCCTTCACGCGTGGTTGATCGGAGATCCAGGTCTTTCTTATGAACAATTTTCAGCAGTGAGATGTTTTAGTGATTGTTACTTCCTTGTACCCAAGGCACGAGACCATGCCATACGAGAGGGTCACTTGCTCAGATTGCAAAGTTCCTGAGTGGGACGTCATTTTCAGTTCCAACATCCAAATGCATCCTGAAAACCATTCAGAAGATAACACGTGGTACTGATACTGCTCGACTCAAAATTTCTGCACTTGGAGCAAGCAGCTGCAAGGGAGTGTCGTGTCGCACCTTTCGGTGCTGTGTGAGACTCGACGGATCTCGGGATCTGAGGCTGTTGTCTATGCTGCATTGATGTCTGACTTCGTTGCTCACTGCAAGAAGAGTCTCAGGGTGACTTGTCCTGACAGTCGCAGCTGTGATGTGTAGTGAGACGTTGTTTGGAGGTGGACCCAGCCTGAATGCATACCGGCATAGTGGCCTACTGTATTTACTGAAAGATGCTGTATGCTTACTGTCGACTCGCGACATTCGACTGTTACTGTTCTTAGCCTCGGATCACTGAGGGACTTTTGACTGGGCCGGCAGCAGCTTGACTGAGTCAAAACGTGTGGAGCTATTTGTGAAGCACTTTGTTGCCCCAGCATTGCCATTGGTTGTGGTTTGTATTGGTTGGTGGTGTCCTTTGCGTTGCAAAATTTGAGCCACGCTGGTTTTAGATAGTGAATCTCAAGAAGAGCTCTAATAGGACTCCTTGCTGTTGCAGGTGAGTGAAGGGTTTGTTGGGAGAACTTGTGCACTCATGGCCGGCTGTATGTCTTCACTTTTCAGATCAAATTCATTGGCCTGCCGAGGAGAGTGAGCTCACGAACATCCGCTTGCGAACCAAGGAAGGTACTGAGATCATTTGCGCCACTTGGGCTGCACCTGCCTTTCGGGATGTTTGAGCCCGGCGCTGGGCTCAATGCTGACCACAGCCCATCAACCGAACCTCCAACGACTTCCGACTGAATACGTGTAAGTTTATTGCTCGCGCGATCAGTGAACTGCAACCAATCACATATTTCTAAAAGTTTTGTTGACTGATGAGGGATTGAGCAAGCACACTCACACACACAAGCTCCGGTGGAGGACATGTGTTCATGAGATGGCTTTGACGGTTTGGATTACTTGATTGCAGCCAGCTGCATTCATGGTGGACGAGGTTACACAAGTTGAGTACACCTTGGTGGTGATTCAGAATTGCACAGGCCCCTCGGCACGAGCGCTTGGCCGAGTAGCAACTTATACTACTTGTATTCGCAGTTTACCTAGCTCTGACGATGCTTTTTCGGATTTGTTTGGCTTAGACTCTGACGATCTTCAGCAACAAACCTGAAACAACATGTCAACATTCAAAGGCAAATCAGCATGAACTGATGAGTAGCATTGGCATGCGGCTCATTGTGACAAGGGGCTGGGTGCCACACTTTTAGTATCTCAGGAAGTCCATGGGTACAGGACGATGAAGCCGCAGCACCAGGCCAAAACTGCCGGTGGAGTTTTGCACATTTTGGGTTCAAATCCATGCATCCATTGCATTCTTAGTAGGGACGGCCCACACCAAATCATGAACTGAAATGCAACAAATGCTAATCATCCGATTCCATTCACCAATGGAGCCGTTACCCTCCCCTAACATTCCGCAGCCGTGCCATTGCCAATTGTGGTTGTATCCTTTGATTCCGCAGCTAAGCAGCCAGACCTCTCAAGAGGGTTTTGCTTTTGAGCATCCTAGAGAGAAGTCCTTCTTTTGTTTTTATCACCAGTTCTGACAAGCCAAACGAAACCAGGAGCGCCTTGTTATTTCAAGAGAAGGACCTCATGGTCGCCTAGCTATTTCAAGATAACCGCCTCCTTCGGCCTCCAGATCCCTGGAATTTTGGCAATAATTTGCGCGATTCTGCTGGATGCACCGGCGAACTTCTCCCACTATTAGAACAGTAATGATAGTAATGCGGGGTTGGAGTTGTTAAGATAGGTTTGCCAATGGGGTTCCTAATTTGATTGTTTCATTCTGATTCCTTGAAGGCGGTGGAGGTGATGGTGGTTCGTGAGAGTGAGGTAAAGTCTATGTAGAGGCTGTGGGCGAAGTATAGATCATAGATCATGAGGCATGTGCAAACAGTTGGAGCAGCCTCCTTGAGGAGTAATCCCGGCATAAAGTGCTGCGCTCGTGTCACTGCCCGAGCAAAATGCCAGGGCCAAACGAATTTGTGCAAAGCTGCAGGAAAATGGGAGATTTGGTTGATTTCGTAGGAGCTTCGAATTGTATGCCAATTCCAATTCACTTGTGCATGTGGACTGTTCATGTCTCCACCCTGATGGGATGTGGCAGCCTAGCAATAGACCGTACCAGGCTATTTTATTCCGGTTCAGTGGCCCAGGATGGACTTGCAGGAGACGAGTGCTCCAGGCCGTGCGATGGACAACTTGGATTCCAGTGCGTGGCTGCAAATGCCGTCACGTTGATTTGCTTTCTTTTGGTTTGCCAGTCCCTTTGCCTCAGAATTCCCTCAACCAATTGTGTTTACTCTAGGGTTGACCATGTTTATTTTTTTGTTTATCTCTCCGTCGCCTTTCAGTCACTTGACGAGTCACTGTGACTTTTCCACTTGACCCTGCACCGGTGCACTCGTGTCAAACTCGTGTAGGAGAGCCGTGTGGTGAGCCTATCACTGCAGAAGCGGCCGAGGCTTTGGAGAAGGCGATGATGGAGATCGGAGCAATTGCGTTGTAGGATAAATGATGATTGATATATACGTATATATATATATATTATGAATATTTATATAAATGCATCTACTCACCCTTCCCTTGTGCCAAGATTCGCCAGAACATAGGAATCCTTTGCCAGGCGGGGCTGGTGCACATCTTTGGCAGCAGCTTCAGGCGCGTGCCAAGGCGGAAGGACTGCGCATGGGGCCCTGGGGCGTTTGTTGGTGACTGAGAATTGAGCGTCCGAGCGTAGCGCCCGATCGCTCCTAGTAGCGATGCCAGGAGCCCCTAGTAATAGTAGCTTCTTGTTCCGTTCGTAGCGATGCCCTTTGCTCCTAGTAGCGTCCTGGTAGGTTGGTATAGTTTGATCATTTGTACACAAAGGACATTATTTTGGGGAACTGTTCAAGTGGACAGAACAATGTAACTAAGGAGTGCCACTTAACTCGAGCCTGTAGTGTGTGATTAGACCTTTCTTTGGTGTCCGGTGCGCTTTTCAATGGCCTGCCCGCTCTCGATGGGAAGGTGGCTTTGACCTGACTCCATTTTTGAATGTCAAGTTGCCCTGCTGACACTCTTCATATCCAGCATTTTTTTCGCCACCTGAGGCCCTCAAAGACTTTGAAGACTCAAGTGCTTTACATTGTCGCTGTTTGGGCTGCCAAGTCGCTCTGGGGCAAGCAGAAGGGAGCTGCCCCTTGAGCATTCCGGGATAATGTATCAGGCTTGGAATAAGATTAGGCAGCGTGATTTTCCATACAATACTAAGAAGTCTCAAGCGTTTAAATTGTGCGTTTGTGAGGTGATTGATCTTAATCTTGCTTGTTGCAAAATGCCAGGCTTAAGGTCAGGTTCGTCAGGTGACCCTTACTCGCCTCCACCGGCTGCACAGCGGAACCCTTGTGCCTTTGCTTTTTGCGAACTCACTTGTCAAGGCCGGGAGTCTGCGATGGTATGCTGGGGTCCTCGAGATGCTGTGAGGTGTACATGACATCGGTTGCTACATGTTGCTACCATCCGTCCATGTCAGTCCATGTCCATGTCTTGCGAAGACGCATCCAATGATTTGGCAGTTTTTGCTGATTTGATGCACTGATAAGGTTGGAACTCTGCCAAAGAGGAGCAGGCACGAACTGCTGTTCGTCTGCCAGCAAGGAATAGTAATAGAGCATAATAGAGCCTTCAAGTCAGAGTCTATTGTATGTCACTGCTGTTCAGAATCCACAGGTGGTTGGCGGCTCCAGGCAAGTCCTGGCTTCGAGCTGTGCCATGCGGCGAGGCGAAGTGGAGCTCCCACTAAGAATACTTGGCGCCTGTAATGAGCTGTCCTGATGACAACAACAATCCAGCGTGTCCCTTCCCTTGCTGAGCTTTGCCGCTGCGAAACCGTTACAGAACCATCATGAACGCTCTCCATTCCTGGGTTGCCCGCACGGGTTCCTCATTTAGCTTCCCTTCCTCGGCGGCACATGATACATCCAATCACCACCGTGTCATTGGCAAATCGAGGTATTGGGCGACTCTTGGAATGCCTATGTATGTGTATGTGTGTACATATATTACTGTACCCTATTATATATTACAATTATAATTCATTATGTAATCTTGCTAAAGTTGATCGCTTTGTGTTTGAACTGAGCCACGTGATGTTTAGAAAAAAGCGGGACCTACGAGAAATGTAAGCAGTGGTCCCGTTTTAGCAAACCATGGCTGATTCATTGTAAACGATAAAGAGTTTTAAACAGCGATAGCACTCATGTAATACATGCAATACAGTACATGAGAATAGAAGCATTGGCAATTCAATTGCCTCCAGTTCTTGAAGCAAATAGTATAGCTTTTAAATCTTATTGATTTCAGGTGCATTTTTTTTAACAAGAGTCTTTCATGTCAAGGTTTTCGTGTAATACAAGCATTCAGAAGTGATTTCTTCTTTGGCTCCTTGAGCATCGCTGGGACATGGGTAGACACTTGCTGATCCATAATGGGTAAGTAGTTGCATGTACATGGATTCTAATTCAGTGGATGTTAGGGACAAGTCAACAGCACCCATGTGAATGAATATGTTGTAGTAAGTGTTTGAGTCCGTTTGAGTGAACCAAAATGGGTGAAGCGCTGGAGCTCAGGGACGTCACGGGACGTCACGATCCGAAAGATCCGAAAGGGTTCGGTGGCGGCGAACGGCCAAAAGGCCGGTGAACCCTTACGCTCCCAAGATGTGGAATCCCAGTTCCCTGTGTCTCCCCGTTATATAATGAAATAGACACAGAGACAGGGGGAGAGGAGAAACAAAGTAAAGAAGTAGCTAGTTAATTTTTTAATTCATGTTAGTTATTTTCCTGATCTAATTCCTTCAGTTCCTGTCTTCCCTTGATGTTTGGAGTCTGTTTGAAGGACATTTTGAACAATATTGTCATTGTTTCATTGAAATCATTAAAATTTGCACGCGCACACACACACAACAGACGACTTTTGCAGTGGAGGCAGGGACATGTGTGGTTAGCTGGGGCACGACAAGAGACTGTCAACTGATTTCCAAACATTGTAGAACGATTAAACGTTAAACAAACATGATAAGGCTATAAGTGGTGATACAAATTGTATAGTTGTTTTTTATATCACATGTTTTGCAAATGATTTAGTTTTTACAGAAAGGGTCAAAAAGGGGAGCTGCTAAGTATAGTCGTGGAGGGCTGCGGCATAGGCTAGTCTTGAATTGCTGCGATACAAAAATCCTGCGTTTCCTGTTCATACGAATGTAGTTTTCGCGTAGCTGTGTAGGCCTTCTTCGAAGCACTGGTGGTCCTTTCGACCTTTGGCCAAGAACACCCTTCCGTTCCCTTTCCTACCTTCAGCTTCCTTCCTATTTCAATAGAAGCAACGGCTGCACCCTTTCGGACAGTTGGCCGTGCATTTGCAGGATTCAAGTTCTCCAGCTGAACTCACAAGGGAGCCAGATGCAACAGCTGTTGCATGCTGCTGTGTGAAAAGCCACATAAAGCTTGTGTAGACACATGAGAAAGGAGACCTCTTCGCAAGCACTGCTCAACTGGTTTGATGTCAGGCGATGGGAAGTACCGTTTGGACCTGCGTGTGAACAGCAGCGGAGAGGCTGCTTTCCTACTGGAGGTGGCTTGTTGAAATGTTTGAGTCACACGGTCATGTCAACCTTTTGGGAGTTGCCGTTCGGAAGTGCACCCACCCAACTTCCGGTTTGGGAGCTGATAGGACTCATAACAGAGAAGACAGATGGACTCAACCAGACTCAGTAAGATTGGCCACCTTTCGCTTTGCCAAGATTGGCCTGCTGGTGCAGCCAGACGATGGGGTGGCCTTCAAGGTCAGCCAACGAGAAGTCATGAGGGTGGCTATGGCAGTGCAGTTGTGATTAGCTGTCGGATGGGAACCCGTGGATGCTGTCTCTTGGAATGATATCAGGGAGTGACACGGAGTGGATGCCCAACCACTCGGGTCCACGCCGCGGAGTTCTTCTCCCACTGTTGACCCCGCAACAACCCGCAACTGTTCATGGTGAGTAATTAATTACGTATAGCATTTTCTGTGGGCTTTCACCGCTCCGTTGCACTCGCAGGTAGGTTGCCCCGGAGCATCAAGACCTTTGTGCCGTGGTGACGCATGACAGCACGGAGTGAGGTGCACGCTCACATATGCTTGTGGCGAAGTGTCATGTTTTTGTTCAAGGCCTTCCTGTGGAAATTTGTATTATACTATTATAGTTCAGTTTCCACTCCGGCGCTGGGGGACTCGACCATGTATTTACACCTTGCATCTCCTTTAAACTATTTTCAATCGTCGCCGGCAAGTGTTTTCCTCAACTTCCTCAATTGAAACAAACAATATTGCTTAGGTTAGGACCCATTCGTGTTGTAACAGTCAGGTATGGGAAACAAGTTTTCCAAAGATTTCTCTCACGCATTTGTTGGACAATTGCTTCCAACATGTTTCAACAATACGCACAATTGAATTGTGTTGATTTTGCAACTGAAATCGTTCTTTGCCTGATTAGGAACTGCCTGGCAAAAGTGTGAAGCTGAGTGGCCAAGAAAGCATCCAATTAGCCCTGGGACGAGACCAGCTCTGATCCAGAAAATGCAAGCTTGTTAGGTTCTTTTGATCCCGAAGCACCAGTTGTGCAAACCTGTGCAAAATGATAGCCGTGGATTTGTCAAATTGAGTAACCAGGGAGTAGGATTTGCTGCATTGGATTTTGTCAGGCATGCCTGAAGGGTGGGCATTCAGCCATTCAGCTTGCCACCTACAGCTTCGCAAAGTGTGCGTGTCCTTGTGTGAAGGTGAGCCATTCTTCCGAATCCTTTCCTTGATGGATGTGCTAGTGGAGGCCGAAGCGGTCGAAATGCAATTGTTCCTCAACCAGTCAACCAGCAGTTCAGCTGTGCAGGGTGTGCGCCTTTCTGTCGAGATCGACATGAAAGAGGCCTGCTTTTGCATGTGCCAAACTGCACTCCATGTCAAATCGACATGTTTCAGGGAGAACTGGAGAACTGCAGGGCACTGTCAGAAAGTCTCAGAATATGTTCCCATATTTTCCGTGTATATATATATATACAGTAAGCTTTGGTATATTTTTGAGCCAAGCTCAGATGTTCTTTGCCTTTTTGATATAATGTGCATCTGAAGAAAGGGAGCCAGTCAGTCCAAAGAACTTGTTGGCTTTAAAAATGTTCTTTGCCTTCTGAACCTCCATGCGGCAATCAGGAAAATGCTGGAAATTAGAGGCATGTCATGTAGAGGCTCTCATAGAGGTGCTTGGTCACCTTCGTGGGCTTCACTCTCCGTGCCCTGGGTCGCGGCCGAGCCATTTGAGCCCGAGCCTCCAGGATCAAGTGTCGCTTTGGAACCTGGAGCCAGGCGAATCATCAGCTCCTGTGCAGGCCAAGCTTTGTTTGTGTTTCTTTTCTTTTCTTCACTCAGAAGCTTGTTGTACTGTGACGTTTCTGCGAAACATCTTTCTTTTGGCCAGGTTTGCGCGGGGTGGTGTTGGGTGGTGCAGTAAATCATGAGAGACTTGCAGAGGAAGAACTCCTGTCATGCAGGTTTCCGTGGCACAGTGGTTGGCAGTGTCTGGGCGGCATTGCCATGCTCGGGCGTGCAGTTGCTCCTAGGGAAAGAAGAGATGCAGACCAAAACAGGTCCCGGATGCCAAATCAGTTTCTCTATGCCGGCGCGTGATGTGTAGAATTCCTACGTCATCACACTCTTTTAGGCACAAGCTGCTCTACATGTCAAAGACAAAGAGAGCAAGGCACATCACCTGTGCTGTTCCGACCTGGACCTGCACCATCCTGCGCTAGTTCGAGACATGGATGTGCGGCCGCCTATGCATGTGAAGGTGCCGACCAAGATGGTCGAGTCTGAGCGCGTGAACCGTGCGGCTCTATGGCTCTTCAACTTTGCTGACAATACTGTGTCTGAAATGTGCATCCATACGGCACCTGCCGTGGGCAGCCTGCCGTGGGCAGCCTGCCGTGGGCAGCCTGAGGATATAGAGCCATTGTTTGGACAAAGTCGTGCTTGGGTGGCTCCACCCCAGAGGCGATAAAAGACATAGACCAGATTCAGGGGGATGCCGCAGAAACTCAAGAGCTAGATGCAGAACATTCTGCATATGCACATCGCGTCACTGTGGGCTTTGTCGTCTACCACCCGGCGTACACATATTGGGCTTGATGCTACTGCTAGTGGTTTGAGCTTGTCATTGGGGATTTCACAATGTTTTTGCCTTGACGGGGAATTGCTTTGGTTTCTTGAGACTGCTGCCACACACTTGATTTGCAGAGCTTCCCCAAGAAAGTTCCTCAGCTCAATCTGTCCCATTGTGAGTGAATGCTATGACCTCATCAAAGACAGCATGTCCATTGCTAACCTTGGCCACAACGTAGGATACTTGTGTGCTGGCATCGTTGTTCTGACCAGCAAGGAGATGCTGGGTGGCCCCTTTTTGAAAGGGTATATAAGTTTAAGTGATTTCAAGGAAAACGATGAGTAGCCTAATGAGGAGTAAAGAAACGGAAGGATCCTATGCTGTTGCTGCCATTTTGTTGGTCAGATAGAGAAAGCCGCTAATTGCTGTGAGGACTGGCCATTTTGGTTTTGAAGGTGAATACTCGAGCACGAGGCAGCCCACATGTTTTTTTAGTGACAAGTGATTTATTCCCCACCTGTCAGGTTTCAGTCTATAGATTTTATGTCAGCGACTTGTGTCCGCCTGTCGCCCATCTCTGCCCGCCGTCGAAGATATATCAGAACACATTGCAGACTTGACTGCAGAACGCATGTCAGAGACTTTTGCCAGAACACATGTCAGAAGATATGCCATGCGTGATGCCAGCACAAATGTCAGAACAAATGTCGGAACATGTTGGAACACTTGCCAGGCATAATGCCAGAACGAATCCCAGAGCAGTTGGCAGAACACACATGCCACAGCAGAAGCCGGGCCATATGTCACAACACGCTTCAGAACACGTGCCAGATTTCATGCAGGAGCACATTTCCGGAGGTATATGCCAAAAAACATGTCAGAACACACATCAGGACTTGATGGCAGGACAAATGCCAGAAAGGATGCCAAAACACTTCTCAGCACTATCCTAGACGATGTGTCAAAGAAACATACCCAAGTTGATGCCAGAGCGTCATTACGTCGTGTCAGTGCCATAGCGCGTGTCGGGCAGTGTTTCTCAGTCCCCCAATGTAGGGCAAATGAATCCTTGACGTGGCCCTCAGTCAACCCCAGAAACACGAGGACAATAGCATGAAAACACGTGACTGGACATGAAAAGAAATTCAAAGAAATGGGCATGCGGTGGCATGAAACAACCATTACAGCAAGTGGACATATTCAAAGGGAAATGACATGACGAACCCCTCAACATCCACTTGGCGCCGAGATGTGGACATTGGGAAACGCAAGAAACCAACATGAAAGACAACTGTGTGAACAAAAGTTAAGTTTCCCCTACAACCTAGGAACCAAATAATGATTAGTGCGAGCTCTTGGCGGGGGGAGCTTCCTTGAAGAAGCGTGAGCTATCCTGCGTCCATACTACTTAGTAGCTACGTGTAGGTACCAGCGGGTACTAGCGACTCCCTAGCTACCGTACTACTAGCTACCTACCTCTAGCTAACTTACCTCACCTGGGCCTACCCCCCCTACAACAAACAAAACAGTGTGAACCAAAGTCAAAGGACTTTCTTTTGGTACCCTGACCTGATGGGACCGAAAGAGTGCTTCCACTCCCACCTGTCCCGCTTGGGGCAAAAATGACAAACATGAGATGAACCGATTGCTATCGATTGCTCCTCAAAATAATGTTTCTCAAAGATCACTTTTGGATAATTTGTGAAGAAAGAAATGGTGGAAGAAAGGGAATGCTAATGAAAACATGACAAAAACAATGGCACGAAGTGTCAGTAGTGAAAAGACAAAATGTACCTGCAATGGTGCAACTGACAATGATTTTGGATGCTGTTGGCCTTTTGATGTTCTCATTGTGGTTGCACATTGTGGGATTGTTACGTGCAATAAACAGCAGATCATCTTGGGCCAAACCCCGAATGCAAACAAAACATCAGTAACAAAACGAAATCCCCAAGAGAGAACTCTACAAAGTCAAATTCTTGTTCAACCTCAGGTGCTGTGCGCTCGTCAACTGGGAGAGGCCACACGTGAGCACTGGTGGATGTCATGCGTTTAGAGGACTTGCATCGTGGTGAACATCCTGGCGGCTTTGGCCAAAACAAAGAGGCCCGGGTGTTTGGCCTGGATTCTGGATGGCAGTCAATGACGTGCCCTGGCCCTGGCCCCTCAAATGACCCGAGGGAATGTGCTTTGGAGCATGCTGCAAAGCCTCTTGCGCTCAGATGAGACTGCCAAAGCTGGGCAGGCGGTGGAGCAACACAGCGAGCAAAACCTATAGCCTAGACCTATTATCCCAATCTTGGAGAGGGGAGTGGACCTTGTGCAGCATGCTGCGGGTCAGCGCAAGTGTGAAGCTGTTCTGGCATACTGTAGCAGCACGGCTGAAGCTTTGCTGAGGAAGTGGAATAACCTTTCTCAATCTGTCCGCCAGACCGTTTGCAGTACCTCACAGCTGTGACTGAAGGCAGCGTAGATTTAAACAACAACTGGTTACTCGTCGAGCTTGGACAACTAGCAGGAACGTTGCATTATCCAGAGGCTTACTTTCGCACAGCCAAAGAGCAAGAACTTGCAACCAAAGCAGAGACATTTTCTCGCACGAAGACGAGTGATACGTGTGGCTGCTTGCCAGTCCTTTGCATGCCTTGCAACGGAGGCCGTTGAAGCCTTGCTGACAGAAAGACCCGAGGAGCTTGACTTCCTCGAACGCCTGGTGTGGACACTACATTCACTAAAGACCATAGACAAGCTGGAGAAAAACGATCCTCGTGTGGAAGTCTTGGGTCAATACTTGCAAAAACCTCAACCACGTCAATTACTGTACAACTTTGGTGTGCTGTGGGCACGACCCTGCTATGCTGTTTGTGCCGAAGGGCGTACGGCTGCCATCCTTAGCCAGGCTGTTGCCTGCTTTTGCCACCCTCGCCAGACACTCCTTAGTGCCACAAAACTTCTATGAACATCGAGTCAAGCTGATCCTAGACTTGCACTCGCCTTTCCAGATCGATGCTTTGCGTGGGCCATACCCTGGCCTGCTAGGGCCGTTGTGAGTACATTTGCACTTCTCACCCAGAGTGAACTCATACGCACGAAGACGCGCGATGCATGGTTCCATTCAAGTGTTGGGAGTTGCAAGAAACTGGACGCTGACTTTGGACCTTAAAGTACTTTCTGAGGATGGTCTTTTTGATGTCTCTGAAACAATCTAGATAGTCCAGGACCTTTGGGACATTATCAGCCAGCCCTGTTTAGGAACGAAATCGAGCTCAAGTAATGTCTGCGGGGTCCCAGAAAGCGTGGCTATACCGTGTCGTGAGTCCATTTGATGCAGGAAGGGGATGAAAAATTCACAAGGGACCAATAGACAGGCCAAGGGATTGCCGAACGAACATGCCATGAGCCGACGTTGTGCTTACTGCCTTTGCCCAGCTCTTCGTCCTGTGTGCCTGGCTCAACAGCAAGGATCACAAGGCCAGGGCTGACAGGAGCTCTAGAAAGCTTGAAAGACACTGAAGACTTTGGCCTCTTCTGACCCCCACCCAATCATCTCTACTTGTTCAATACATATTTGTTTTTGCTCACACGGGCCCTGACAAGCACCGATGGCCCGCGACCCTGCGTCACCCACACACCACTGGGATGTTTGATTTGATGGATGTCCTTTTTCCACCTTGTTTTCCTTCCGCTCAGCCACTCCTCCAGCTATTCTAACTCTTAACAACTGTATATATAAATCTTCTTTGACAAGCCGAGGTACCCAATAAGACCTCAGGCCAGTATGGACGAAGCTTGTTTGATGGTCAAAGACCACTTTGCGACAGCGTTAGGGTATGCTGCATGCCCTTGATGGATGTCCCTTTCTGATGGCGGGCAACCTACAACCTGGCGGCGCGTCAGCTGCTCGTTGTGCAAATTCTGCACAATGGAATGGCCGAGAAGGAGCCTTTTCCTTGCCTTGTTGGGGGAGATGTGGTTCCCAACGTGCTTTGCAGATTGGTATATATGTTAATGTCGACGTAGGATTGATCAACCCCCCCTTCAAGGTCAACAAGGTTTGAGATTGGATAGATTGGAGACCACATCCCCTTAATAAAGATGATGACCGGTGACCTGATGATGGATGATGAGATGATGACAAGATTAGGAAAGACTGGGGTTGAGATGGTTCGGAAAGATATGAAAGAGATTGGAAGACACGATTCTTTCTTTGATTGGGATGATTAGGAAAAGAAAGAGGATTGCAGGATGAAAGAGGTTGAAGACAAGATGGAGGCCAGAGGGTGGGCTTGATTAATGAGGGGAGGGGCCCTACGGTACCCTTTGTGAGCTTGAAGACCTTAATATTTTTATAGATAGTTAATAAGGGAAAACGAAAGACTTTTGCTAGTTAGCTTTTTGTGAATTTTAACTGGGAAAGATGAGAAGACAAAGCAGGATGAGAAGCAGAAGGAGGATGAGAATGATGTTGACCATGGACCAGAAGATATTGTATACTAGCCAGAAAGAAAGTAAAAAAATAATGAACTAAATACTGTACTGTAAGTATTTTTTTGGGGGGGGAGCTGGGCTTGATTAATAGGTTGATTAATAGGGGAGGTTTTTGCTAGGAAGAAAAATGTTAGGGTGATGTACATGTAGAATTCAGGTTTTAAATTAGTTTAGTATTCGGGGCTCGAGCTGGGCTTGATTCATAGGGGGAGGTTACTTAATCCTAGGTGCGCAATATATATATATATATATCCACCGGGTACATCCATGGGACCCTCTCCCAACCAGGAGCTGCAAAGCTGTGTGCGCGGGACCCACTGGGCTTTGGCAGTGTGGGAAGCTCAGGCTGCGCAACTGCTATCGCTTTCAATGCTGTTTGCAACGCTTTCAATGCTTTTGCGGACGTAGACATAGCTTGTTGAGTCTACCGAAACGACATTGAATTGCATGGGGGCTGGGTTAGGGTAATCAGGCCTGGAGGGCCGGAGGTAGAATGGCAGAAATATAAGTACCCCTTTCAAATCGAATTACATCGAGCGGTTATAAAGTGCCTGGCCGGGCCTGTTGGTTTAAAGGGCAGGGAGAAACATACCCTCATGGAGGTCATTCTGTTGGTGTCACATCAAATTTTAGACGTGCGCAAGAGCACTCAATGGGTAGGCAGATGTACGCATATATGGCATCGACGAGTGCAAAAGGCAAAGCCGACAGCACCCTAAGCACTTCCCAACCAGTCCCCTAGGTCAGTACTACGCGGGCTCTTCTCGGCTTAACTTCGGAGGTCGAAAGAGATCCGGTGCATTCGGAGAGATATGGTCGGCGACAAATTGATGGCTTGCCACTGGCACACCCCCTTTTCGCATAATGATGGTCCCACCTGTTGATGGCTTGACGCCGCCGAAGTGGTATGATGGTATGTGTATTTTTCTATATATATATATTATTCATCAACTCATTGTAGCTTTGTTGTGTATGTTTGAACAGTTTTGAACAGCCGGGCGGATCGGCAAAGTTCTTGTAACCGGGTCATCTAAAATCTGTATCTCAATTGCCATTTGAAGATGTTTAACATGTCAATTGCCATGCTGATACGAACACAGTTGCGGCAAAATGGCAAGCAAACGCCGAAGCATCCGAAACACAAGACACAATGACAACTCTAGTAATGCACTTAGCTACTAGTAGCGATGCACCTTGTTGCTAGTAGTAATGCCCTTGTTACTAGTAGCGGTGCGCTTGTTACGAAGTGGCAAAGCACCGTTCCATGAATTTCCTTGTGTTCAGTGACCTTTGGTGCGCACAATCGTAAGATGCGCTCGGTGTTCACCGCCAACGCCGCCAAAGTTAAATCCAAGGGGCCAGGGCGGCCCGGCACTATCATTAAGTGCGTATTCAGCCCCGTTAAATGTAGCAAACGAATCATTAAATATTGTCTTCAAGAAGTACAGTTTCACGACATACACATACACGCATATACGGAAGCAGACATGCAGAAAAAATCAGAAGCCATCATAGAGCCATGATACGTTTGCAGAAGTGATGGATCAATCAAAGTAACGCATGTGTAGAGACAAATAGATGCACTGCACAAGGAACACAGTTTCTCAAAACGGCTCGATCATGTGTCTCACTAGTGATCTCCCATGGTCCTTCTTCAATCAAACAGAAATGTTATTGAAGTTCTTTTGATCCAGGGCCCTGTGCCGAAACGCAACAGGAAAGTGCTGCCATACCCGCATAGCGTATAACCAGCCTTGACTTTTGACTGTGTTTTTTCAAAGAACTCTTTCAATCAGAGTACTAGCGCGGACTACAAGCGAGGCACCGTGATGTGTGTTCGTGTTCCAATCCACTCCCAAGAGTTGGTGGCTCATCACCGGGGCAAACGCTCAACTCGTTGAGGCGACAGTTCCAAGAAAGGAGTTGTGCGGATGACCTCCGCACGCGGGTGGTGGTCATCGGAGCCTGTGGGAAGAAAGGCCAGTGGCCACAGGCATCTCAGCAGCTTCGCGCGTTGAGTTTTCATCTACTGTGATTTGCATGGTCACTGGCGAAGCACTAGGGTCCATACAGACAAGAGGGGACATGTTCTCTTTGCATGCGACGTGCGTTCTGACAGCAGCAGAGACCGCGAGGTGTCAGGAGTATTCAGATGAAGAGATCATTTATTTCATGTGCATATTGATTCGAGCCGCTTTTTCAACGCGTTTGTCGAGATGGCTTTGAGATTCTTTCAGGAAAGACTGGGGAAGTAGAGCAGCAGCATCGAAAAACTTGAAGAATTCAAGATGCATTTCTCATTTCCCCTGCTTGCTCAAATTGACCATCCGGGGCAGTGAAGTTGGCGGTGTCAAATGACAGGCCTTGCAGCTCTTAGCTGATGTCTTCCACAACTCCTTGGAGGCGAACATCTTCCTCTACAGTGCTACAATCAGCGCTTGCGAGAAAGGTGGGCAGACTTCAGATCCAGCACAGGTGCTGATGAAACGATGAGCTAAGCCTTGACTACATTTGTTGACTACAATAGTTACTAAACAAGTCAGTATGCATGCAGCTTACTGACATTCTCTCGTCAGATCATCCGAAGCATCCATGTGACCACATGACACAAGCCTGTGAGGCCTATACGTACATTTCCCGTCCACTGACGTTTGTCCTTGCCAGGTGATGCCTGGGAGCATGCCCTTATGTTGCTGGTAGATGTTGTGCAATCAATGCGACCAGAAGCAGAGCTGCGATATTTCCTGCACAGGTTTAGAGAACCCATCAGTCTCATTCTTTGTTGTCAGCAAAAGGTTTCATGCATGGGATGAGCGATGACACTTCCTTTTTTCAGATTTGGCCCAAGATACGGACAGGGGCAAAACTATCATATCCTGCATCAGCCATGTTTGCCAGTGACATGCTAACCGACAATACACATCATAATCATCATACCGCTCCTGGAGTTGGCGCATGCTTTGCACTCCTTGAACAGTAGGGTCACAGTTTAAGGATGTGATCAGCTTCAACTCTGCCATCAGCGCTTGCGCACGGGGTGGGCAGTGGATCCAGGACTGGCTGAGGGTTTCAACTCTACTAGTAAGGCACCTGTTACTACTAGCTTCTTGTTATTACTAGTAAGGCACCTGTTACTACTAGCGTGGCACTTGTTTCTACTATATAGTTGGATTCTTGTATTGTAGAGGTGGTTCTTCTGCTTGTTCGTCCTGGTCTGACGATGTGATTGGGTCTGAGTCAGAGCTCGCGGCAACTGTTCTGCCTAGGCGCTACAACTTCTTAATTGGATGGAAAAGGATGATTTGTCTCCAGATGCCACCAGGCGTCGGAAATGATAGCCTGAGCACAAGCGTCAGCTGGTAGGTCAAGATGTCAGCAGTATTGAATTTGATGTTTGAAGGCACGTGCTGCAGTGCCGCCACTCTTTGTGGGTTGGAATGGTTTGCCCGTGGGTTTTAACCTGCACTGAAGGCACACTGCCACTGGGCCTTCGATTTGCTACTTAGGTGATCTCGCTCAACTCTGCAGTCGCTGCATGTGACCGAAGTCAGCAGTGGGAATTGGCATTAGAGCTGTTTGACGAAATGAGTCGAAGAAAGCTGGAGGCCGGTGGTTTTCGGTTGATGGGCTTGGAGGATTGTTTGGGCT